CCTTTCTTAACCTAATTTAGCATTTGAGAGTGATCAGAGACATTTTATTTGAGGTTTTAAGGTGTGATTGCAAAAATGCAGTACTTTTCTCATTATCTTTCTGCTTTTTATATGCTTCAATTAATGGATTGGACCATCTTTTCAATGTTGAGGGGATAGATAGTGATGTCCTATTCACTGTGTTTCAGGAAAACTCATTATGGACTAATATGCCACCGAACTGACCATTTGCTGCCCTGATCAGTGATTATTCCATTGATAGCTTTAGGGAAATCTAGACACAAAAACCCTGTCAAACTCTGGATTTATTTGCATGTTCAGGCACATGTAGTTAGATAGATATTCTACACTTAAAAAAATTCAAAGTCGGTGTCTTTTTTAACCTCTGTAGCAAAACTGTAAGGAATTAATCAATTCATTCGATCATTCGATTTTGGGAAGTGTACACTCCAGCAACGACAACTACACCTGAGAAACACACCAACAAAAATAATAATGCTTGTTTGTCTCCGAATTTACCCCAAAAAGATGCTGTAGAAACTGATTCCTGCTTTAGACACTTAATTCTAGCCTTAATCTTTCAGCATTGTACCATGTATGCATCAATCCAGTGCATATCTATGAAACCTTTTACAGGAAACGCAGAAAAGTCAACTGGAGATGGCGTTTTTCATCAAGAAACCTACAGAGCAAATGCTGGCTAAATAAATAATCAAGCTACAAGCTGACACAATCAGGAACATATGTCATTTCAGTGGTTGCCAAATGATAAGCCTGCTTTTGTCTCCCTCAGTGTGAAATCAAGGACCCATTGTTTCAGAAATTGCTCAGAATTCAGAGTTTAAAATCTGCCTCTGTTTTTTGTTTTTAAGTGCATGCATGCTGTGCATAGCAACAGTAACTAAGGAGGCAGGGATTAGCTTTAAGTGTGTATACCGCTAATTGCTGGACCAGCTGGATTTCCTACTGAACACAAAAACACATTTTCAAAAAGCAATAAAAGAAAATGACCATGTGACTAACATCAACAAAGAACCACCGTTTGTGAAAACTACATGAGTATAAAGCATGGAGGGAAAAAAAAGGCAGCAAACAATTTGTTTTCCACCCACTGTGACCAGACAGCAGTTGAACCTTTGCACCTCGTAGGTGTTGCAAAGGTTTGCAGAGTTTGCAACAGAAGCAAGCACATCATCCCGGCCAACAGCCAGCGGTCATACTGTCCCTATTAAACTCAAATGTTACATGGTCACTGGAGTGATGGCAGCTCATGACGAATCAGAGTCAAACAGACAACAGGACATTTGAAAGGAGGATACACAGAGACGAGCCGGCCTGCAGCCAGCTTCCTATGACTCAAACTCAAACCAGGAAAAAAAAAAATAAACGACTTTGTGTTTATTAAACTGGCTCATTTTTAATTAACAGAGCACTTAATTGATTTGCTTAATTCATTAACTGCAGTGATTCTTTAGATTGACAGAAACACTGGGGGGTGCCAGGATCTCAGGTGTGAGCGGGATGCTAATTGAGGAACTCATCACGGGAGGATTTATCTCACAAGAAGAGAGCGGTGACTTTCACTCCTAATACTTACTTTGTGAACATCAATCAGACTGAGGATGAGCTGCTGCCCAGTGCTGATGCTACGCTGCATCAACAGACCGCTCTCGCTACAGTTGTGTTGTTTCCTGGACGCCAGGTTCCGTAGAATCACGTGTTTGAAGTCATTAGAGCTGCAATAAGCGGGTATCAGCTTTAAATGTCAAGAATTCAACCGTAATCATTGTAGATGCTATTAAAGATGTTTCTCTAATGTGGTCCCAATGGTGGCTCCAATCTAAAGTCACATAACCATAGAATGGCAATTATTATCTCACAATAATCCAGCAAGACACACCCACTATACTCACATTTAACATGCAGACTAATGAGGAGAGGATTAATAAGATAGTATCTATCCAACTAAGTTAGAAGTCTCATAACTCTTTTCAGTTGTTCCTGTGTCATGCTGTTCTTAATCCTGAGAGTATCCAATGGGGAGGTCGGTGTCCTTGTTTCCAGACCACGCTAAATAAGTATTAGCCTGGACGAGCAAAGAAGTTGCTTATTTAATAAACGTGCCATGATAGCAAATATGAGCCCTGTTTTGCAAAAATGTGGAATAATGCAGGCTGTTGGAATCTGAGTTGAAAGAATGGAACGTAATAAATATTCTCTTTTATAAAAGCGGTGCCGTCGGCTGGGGCTAAATCCGGGTTTGGAATCTGGAACCGGAGCCAAAGCGGGAACAGCCAGCGAGCTCCAAAGTGTTCAGACTAGAAACACTTTAGGCTCAATCGCTTTCCAGCCACTATCCCAGCACGAAAAACCCTGGCAGACCTGCAGTGTAATCTCCTCTAAACACTTTTATTAAGACTTCTAATTGAGGCTCGGCTCTCTCCCTTCAGGAAAACAGGCAGAGGAACAACAACAGGGCTTATTCCAACCCAAAACAGGCTGCAGGCTTATGTCGAGGCACAGTCACAAGACGCTTTAGTTCACAACAGCTATACTGTGCCGCTCAGTGAAGACACTGCTCCGATTCAATCTCAACCTGACGGAAAGAAGCGCCTCACATGACAGAGCTTGTCAACCCAGTGAAGCGACAGGTATTGTTAATGGAAGCGCACAATTCAATATATTATTTCCAATGAGGAGGAACAGCTTAAAGACAATGCAACACTTTCATAATATTTCCTACAAACACATCTGACTGGAACAATGAACGCTTAAGAAGCACTCACATTCAAGCCTTAAGGAAACCTTTCATTTCATATGATCACAAAAGTCATGTTCCTCGGTCATTTCCTCAGTCAGACACCATTTTTGTTTCACATTAAAGGTTCTGTGTTAATGCAACTCCATCGCCATGGCACTCCAAAAGAAGAGACTGCACTACTTAAAAGATAATGAGGAAACAATCTTGGCAGGTGCGATTGATCCCACTGTTTTATAGCGCAGGGATTATCAAAGGATTATCTCACAATAATTATGCGCCCAAGGTCGATACACTGCTTTCATGTTCGCGCTGTGAGAGGCAGAGAGGTGTGTGCGCGGGAGGAAAACAAGACGTGAGAGGAGGTAAAGGTGCGTGTGTTTGTGCGTGGTAAACGTGGAATAAAGATTGGGATGAACCCAATCGCAAATATCACACCCAAAAGTAATTTATCAAGTACAAACACACCAGGAAAATGAATTGAAAACCAATTAATCTCCAATCTAGTGGCAACAACTCACGGAATATCTGAGATTCCCAAAGGAGGACCCACACTGGGTCAAATGGGTCACATCCTATTGCTATGGACGATGAAGTAATTACCCAAGCATTACCACAAATGCCGCCATTTGATTGACTTTACAATGGAAATTACAGATAAAGACCACGATTCCTGTCATATTACATGAGTTTCTTTTACAATCATTATCGCAGAGCCTCGCAGAGTACGCACAGAACAAATGGTTAACAGTACCCAATGCTATGTAGCAATCATCTACTGTAAGTCAGGCTCTTTTGTTGACTCTTATGACATCTGACATTGATTGATGCTAAAACAATGGAAAAGAAAATGGATGTTTGAAAGCATATTTTGTCCTTTGATTAAACTGTTAAAGATTGAATGATTTCTTTAAACACCTACGCCTTGTCTTCTTTTTGGAACAAGTGATGTAATGTCTACAAGACACAATGAACAGCTGCTGGAACACTGTTCTCTTTCTATGAGACTACTCAACATGCCACGATTGAAGCTATAATGATGCAGCTCAGTAGACAAGGTGGACTGGTATGGTGTGTTATTAACATGCCGCTTACATGTATACAAAACGTTAGTCGGAACAGTGGTGGAGGCAGCCAATTAGATGGGAGGACAATGGATGTTTAGTCTCTGATTAGTCGGACGGATGGATTCAGATTTGGTTCAAAGGAAGTCCAATCGACCATTAATTGTTGGGTGCTGTGAGTAGGAATTAGAGTAGAACAGGCTTTGGCATGGGACAGATTACTGGAATTGAGTGAGGCAGTGAACAGCAGTCAAAACATATAAGCGTTTTTAACCTGCGCAGACAGTGATTTAAAGGGTCTGTTCATCCAAATCACACTCAGTATCTTGTCTTTTATTTTTTCAAAGGCGGATACGTTTTGTTTGTGCTACTTAAGCAATAAATATATATATTTATAAAAAAAAAGAAAAGACCATTAAATTCCCTCTAAAATAACCTAAAACATCTAAAATTTCAACTTTTCAATTCTGTTAATACAATAGATAATGCTACATTTCCTCCATTTTTTAGGTACAACATTCTAAAGGATTTGGATGAACTGACCAATTTAGGAAAACAAAAACATCCTACAAGCTAGTCTTATTTCGCATTTTTGCTACCATTCCTATATTTTAAACACCAACTAGGCTGCTCAAATCTGGGAACATGGCAACTCTACTTGAAAAATCAGGTTGATTTGACATGTTACAATCATTTTTAAGTTCAAGTTTAACTTTATAAACTACTTACCTAGAGCCATAGCAAGCTATATCATGTATTCTACTCCTTTAAGTTGTAATTAGAAAGTGTACAGTATAGCAAGTTTAACTTTGAACGACTGGACTTATCGTTGTCGTAAAAAATAGATTTACAATGCAATGGATACAGTTTAAAATCCTTAGTTTTAACAAAGAAAAAAGGTTAGCTGGAAACCATTGGAATAATAAACTGATAGGATTGATAGCAAAAACAAAACAAAATTAGACTTTGTTTGATTTAAAAAGCTGACGTCCCACAGTCTAAGAAACACTGCCTGTTTTTTTTTTTTATCTCTGCTTCGTCATTTGACATTTTCAATCTTGCATGATCTTCTAAAGCATGTGTGTATGATTAAATTACCTTCAAGATGTGTGTAAATGTGTCAGAGGCTTTGGAGGGTGGGTAGATGCGTCACTGACACAAAGGGGTGTGAGGCTCACCAGTTGTGGAGGAGATGTTGACGTCAATGCTGATCTCAGGGATGCCTCCGCCCTTCAGCGCCGCCACGCAGGTGTAGGTGCCAAAGTCGGTGAACTTGAGGTCTATGATGTCCAGGTTGGTGGTCCCGGGGGAGATGTCGGGGTCCGTCTGGGTGATGACCATACGCTCCGAGCTCCGCAGGGCACGGCCATTCTTCAGCCAGCTAAAGGTCAGCTCCTCTGGTGGGGTCGCCTCCACCTGGGACATTCAGCATGACATCATTTATGCTGCACTGATGAGTTACTCACTATGACTTCATGCATGTGGCTGTTTATTTGACATGGTCCAACTGCAGAGCTCAGGGCAGGGGTATTCAAACTTTCCACATACAGAAAAATATACCAAGGAGTGGGCCGCTAGAGGTGAGGTATATTGCCTCATAAGTTAAGTTGTAAGTTAGAAAAATCAATCAAATGTATGTAAAGGATGCTTGATACTTGAAAATGCCTTAAGAAAAAAACAGCCTACATCACAGCTCCCCATAGGGTTTCATTTATTTTGTTACAAAAAGTGTTGCAGCTCATTCCTTAGAACAGAAGCCTCAGATTGCTTATTATCAGTGGCGAACCGTCAGGGCCTTCAAGGTATTCAGAGAATACCCTGGAACACTCGGATAAAACAAACAAAAAATCGATTTAATTATATAAATAAAATGTATATAAAATGAATAAATGAGAATGGTATCTGTGTGGTTGATCTGTAATATTACAGTGTTACGTTGATTTGTTTGTCCTTCTCGGACCATGCACTACACATTTCAGTAGAAAAGAAAGCAACCAATCAGATCTTGTTCTGGGTGTCTGGGTAGAATATCCTTCAACCAAGGTATTCTACATCCTTGATAGAATGCCCTGGCCGTTGCACTGAATGAGAGCGTACGTTTGGACTGACAGTTTGATCAACCAATCAGATATTGATTTGTAGCCAATGGCCGTATTCTTTCAGAGTTCCCCTCGGTTCCAGGGTATTCTAGAAGGCCCGCTAGTTAAAGGTAGGGTAGGTAAGTTTGAGAAACCGACTTGAGATACACTTTTTGTTATATTCCATGGAATGCTCTTAACATCCCGATAGCAATTAATATATTAAATGCTTTGACAATAAATACATTAAAAAATGTCATCTGTGGAAGCCGTAGTACTGTAAAAAGCACGACCAATCATTTTAGCCGGCCCGGCTAAAATAACTGGATGGCCTACCTGCCTGTCAGCCTTCCATCTGTGCACAAACTTATCTCGTGCCCTCATTGGTCATGTGCGCGTTCGTGTGTGTTGGAGGAGGGGCTCTGTAAGGAAGTGGCAGATTTGTTCCAGCTGTGTATTTTCAAATTCTAGCGCACTCGAGCTGGTTTCTCCAAAATTACCTACCGACCTTTAACTGGCTCGAGGCAGAGGATCTAGATGAATGCGACGAAGCAATTCATGCCGTTTTATTGTTTTTAACGTTGAAATGACAAGTGCAACAGGTGAAGATGAAGTTGTTGCGGAATTGTTGCGAGTACCCTTTCCAAGACGACAATTCAGTGAAAAGACGGACATTATAATGCCGCGGAGGGGGAGGAGCGGCGGCGGGGGGTGGGTGTGTCTACAGAAGGTCCAGTTGTGATGGCCACGGTTCGCCACTGCTTATTATAAGGGGAAATATGAAGGGTATATTTCAAGCTTGTTATGTTAACAAGTTGTTTGGTTTTTTTCTTATCATCTTAGATTGGTTAGAAAATGTTTTCAACTTTGATTGTCTGAATTTATTTGCAAAGTGGGCTTATTAACACATGCATACTACTGTGTAATATATTTTTACATATATATTTAAGAAGTTCAATAATACAATAGACAAGCACAAGTTTAATTTGTAGAACATATTTCACTATACTTTTTTAATTTGCTGAGGGCCGATGTTTGGACTCCCCTGGCTCAAGGTTTTGATCCACTTCCTGCTATAGAGTGGTGCAGTGACGCATCCTAAAACCCGGAAGTAAGCTTCTTCCGGTTCCCTCGACAAAAAAGCAATGCAATTTCTCCATAGGATTTTGGAAAATAGCTCGAAATAAGGTCTGTGGTTGACACACATTTAAGAGACGGATCACGTTTTGTTCAGTTGGATAATCTCCACATGTCTACCCTACTTTTATCATTTTCAGACCTTATTTCGAGCTATTTTCCAAAATCCTATGGAGAAATTGCATTGCTTTTTTGTCGAGGGAACCGGAAGAAGCTTACTTCCGGGTTTTAGGACGCGTCACTGCACCACAGCCAGCAAACTTAATAAAGTATATACAAGCTATATTTGCTGCCTTATGATATGTTAACTTAATAAGTAAAAATTATATCAAACTGTTCAAGGTGTGTTTTTAACATGTAATAAATATATGCTCAGAAGACTACATTAATTTCGCAATAGAACATAATACTGTGCTATATATATATATAGAGAATACAATACATTGCATGGATACGTATTTTTCATAAGGAAGGGCGATAAACACACATGATTTACACTTTAACACATGGGATAACAAGTGTGATTTTCCCACCATGTGATAACTAGTGTGATTTCCAGCAGGCCAGAGGTTAGACTGATCCTGGAGCTGTGCAGCAGTGTATCGTTTTGCTGTGTGACTGTACCTGACAGGATATCTTGACTTCTCGTCCGATCTGGATATTGTCGTCATTGTGGTAGGGGTCGGGAGTGATCCAGAAACGCCCCTTTTTCAAAGCTGTGAAGAGATAATCCATTTGATTAGATGTATAATTGCACTACAATTTTGCAACAGGCTGCTGGAGAGAACCCTGAAAGAAAATGACTGTAGGCTCTCCTTGTCATATTGATGTGATTTCTGAGATGTAATCCAAAAGACAGGATTTTATAGATTTTCTGAATTGATTTTTCGTCTTTGCCCAATGTCCTTACTCGGGCTGTAGATCGTTGTAATGGATCTCTGGTGCGCACACCGTAAACCTGAGTGTTACGGAAACCTGCTCAGCCTTCAAGCACTTTAGACATTACACATTGAGCGAATAGAAATACTGGATTTTGTCACAGCTGTCTGAGATCATTTAGATGCGTGACTTCAGTACCGGGGGTTGTGGTATCACAAAAGTGGTATTTAATCAGAAGTGTAGGAGTAGATCAGGATATGACAACTGTAACTGTTCTTCTCAAACAACCAAAAGTGTAGCTTTTGATGCGGCACAAGGGTAAAACAGAAAAGTTAACAGAAAAAAATAGAATTAATGTTTGTTTTGAAGTCTACAGCTTTGAACCAACATTAATATTGATAGCTACGGACTGAATATGATAGCATTGAAGTAAGTACACACACACTGTGAAATTGGAGAGATACCTAACAAAGTATCCACCATCTCTAATTCAATTTGGTTTGCAAACTCCATTTTCAAAGCATATCTTCTGTGAACATAAAAAACAAGATGATTTCATTATAATACATGCTGTATTGGTTCCAAACCCCGAGCCCCTGTTCAATTCATCTCCTCAGCAAAAAAAAAACTGACTGCACCGTGGAAATCTTTTCATCTTGCAATTCCCGAGTGACATTATCATATTCAGTTTGGTAAAGGGAAAGCGAAAAACAAAACCTGCGTGTCATATTTAAACACAGGAAATTGAATGTGAAAAAAAAAGACATTAAGATGCCTGCCGAGGCGCTGGTTGAGGGGAGAGACGATTGACACGCGCCTCCTTGACGTGATCTTCCTCCCCGCGTTTTGAAATCAACGTCTGCAGGCGGAGAATCATATTTCTGACGCGTGTCAAACACAAATATTACAAATCATGTCAACACACACGTTCACAAAAATGCCGCTGTGCATTTGCATTTATTCTTGTATCATACATAGTCATTCTCCAAGGTACTGCCTATCAATCATGTTGTTTGTAATCCAATAGCACCAGCATGGGAACTGGGGCAATTAGCATAATATGGTAAGCAGCATATGTCTGTGACCTTTATGTGGAGATAATACAAAGCATTACCTACAAGCCATGATTATTTCCCATTCGGGTTCAGCTCTGCATCACAGTGTACATTTACAACGTGCACAACACAATTTGGTTTTCCTTAAAGCCAACATGCAGTTTAATGACTCGATACAAACTCAGTGGTGGAAGCCATTAGGTGAGCATTTCTGTAAGGAAACACACATTTCCCTCGATAATACATGTCAGAATACACTCAGAGACAGAGTTGTAGTTCCATCTTGACAGTTTGAAAAGGCTTTTCTCAGCGACATCCATAGCAGACTCACGTCTTTAGAAAGCTTTATGTCATCCACGAACACACGCGCACATATTGCGCAAGCCATTATGCTGTCACAGGTGACAGCGGATAAACATTTGGATTAACAGCTTTCCTCTTTTTACATTCCTCCGTCTCAAGTATATTCTTCCCTCAACTTAAAGCAGCGCGACGGGACTCAGCACTTAACAAACACAGAGCATGCCTCACTGTAAGGCCAGATGTAATCTTTGTGTGCGGAGTTGTCTGTCAGACGGATAAACTCAGGTCATACTGTTGAGTTACAGATGTCTACCTGCTGTCAAAAGACTAACAGGTATTCTAAAGTGGCTGAACATTTTAAGGCAGTGCTCTGAAAAAAAGAAATGTAAGACTGACTGAAGAGTTTTCCACATCACTTGTAGTCCATATTTGACAATAGGTACTTCATTCTGTATTATTCTGAAAGGGAGTATGTTATTGCCTCCTTCCTTGTACACTCCTCTATTATAGAATGCTTGGCTCAAAGCATCTGCTGTTTTTATTGTTGAATACTTGGCCTACTTTGACAATAAACTTGTAGGGAGCTTCAAACAATCATTACTTATTTATATTTTCAATAAGATAAATGAGCCAAGAAGTCAGATTTTTCTGCTGGTGGCTGTAGCACTATGCTCGTAGATACAAAAGATAACATTTCAATTTTATTCTGTTGCATTTTGTTCACCTAAATTGAATTTGAAATCAACTGGTAAATTCTGAATGGCATTCCTATAATCTAATTAAACCCAATCTTTCCACTTGCGTTTAACACATCCTGTCTTTTTCTTTGTGTTTACTGTCGAACACATTATCAGTGTTGCCTTTTTCTCAGCAATACACTTACAACCATGTCTCATACATATTAACTCACATTTGCGGATTAGCTGACTTAATACTTCAACATTTGACCTTTTGGCTGGATAAAATGCTTACATTACATTACATGCCTTTAGGGTTAAGTATCTTTCCCAAGGATCCATACATTGTTATTATGAAATCCCAGAGCCTCCGATTGGTACACGCCCATTTTTGCCCCCAAGGCAACATCCAGCTAATTGCTGTAGTTATATTTCACTGACATAATGTGAGAAAGAAGGTGATAAGGAGCTATTCACAAATCACTGAGTGTTTGCTTCAACTGGAAAGTGTAAATGATCTATTAAGCAGCACATTTAAGCTCCATCTTGAAGAAACTGGAAGCAGAAGTGTTACCCTTTTAAAAATCAGTTTTTTTATTCACTGCTGAGGCTGATTTGAATGCAAAGTGTGCAAGTAGGCTTAAGGGAACAGGATACAGGCTTAAGTACTACATAGAAAAGTTGTTATGGATTTTCCCTCATCAAGGTGAAGTATCCCTGAAACCATCAGCAGGTCCAAATTAACCACAGTACTTCAGCCCCGGGTCTTTCAGTCCTCACATTTATGAATATCTGTGCATCATTTAACTGTTTAACTATTCAAATAGAAAGGAAACTTGAATACAAAATTGGACCTTCATATCGTCAACATAGCCGCAGGGCTGCAAGCTCCAATTTATATCAAGGATCTTGTTGCCGGCCTTTGTGGTACTAGTTGGCTTTTCATATTAAATGCAAATGTTGACTGATCTGGTTTCCAAATCAAATCTTAACCCAAGGACCAAATCATTAAAGAAAAAGTTAATTTCTTCATGACTTGGTGCTTCCGGTTAGGGCATGATGGAAAGTCAAACCAGAGGGTCATTTTAATGTACCTGTGCTTGTAGAGTCAAAGTATAAATGTAGAGGTCCATGCTCAGTAAAGTAGGTTACTTGCATATATATTAACTGGACTCTGACATTAGTGAAGAACAGATTATAGTGTGGAGTGACCTGGCTGCTCATGCTCCACTTTTTTAATATCTATGATAATACCAGCACACCATTATCATACTGATCAGAACACATTACCATCAAGCACCAGCTCTAACATCAATTTAAATGAAAACTAAAGTAGAAAAGCAAACTCCACCTCCTTCTCACTGGGTTTAATGTTGAAAAAAAAAAATCTGATATAAGTTTTCTTTTTACAGGTATTTTGTAGAAAAATACAATAAATATTTAATTGAAGACTTATTGTATTCTAAAAGTCTACAATGCAACATGCAAAAATACATTTGAATCACTTGTTCTTTTTTTTTTAATCCTACAACCAAATACCTTTACTACAGTAGTTAAAGGAGTAGTAGGAATGTCAGGATAAATCTCAATGTCACTTTTCTGTTCTTTAATTTTGGCCCACTTCTCCTCACGGTGACTCAGCCTCCCCATGTTTCCTCACAGAGCTGCAGTGCGCGTTAAAAAGCCAAGTGTTGCAAAGTGTAAGTGCACTCATGCATATTTCAGAATTGGGTTCTTTCCTCCTTACCTCCTCTACATTCAAACCTCCTTTCCTGCAATTTTTCCTGACTATAAATATTGAAAAGCGTGTAGGAATTCCTGTGAATTGACTACATTTGTGTACAAGAGAGATAAGGGGGCATTACCTGGATGTAGTAAATTGTGCCGGACAGCTGCAGTGACTAAAATGGTTCCCCTTATGCATGGGAGGAAATATTAAAACTGGAGGTATTTTGAAAGGTTGAGGATGTGAGGTGAGTGGGAGACTTTATGGTCACTCTTCTTTCCTCATTACTGATAACCAAGTTTGTGGCAAAAGTCACATAAATCTTTAACCAGCGTGTTGCTCAGAAACAGAGTTTTCCCATTTACTCTGGGGGTGAACTGTGTCTCTGACTATTGTTCCTCCAACATCATTAATATCTTGCAAGATTATGTGTACTGTATACATTCGGAATAGTAAGACAGTATTTAACTAATATGTGAGGGGTCAAAGTCTGGGTTAAGACTGAGCTTTCATGCTAACATGTTACATTTTTGTTTTCGTGCAAACTGTTGGGAAAAACAGTGGCAACCTTTGTCACTTTGTCTGTGAAGTTTGAGGTTGATATAAGGCACCTCTGTCAGGGTCAATAAAGCGGAACCTTTTTATATATTTCAGTATTAAACATTTAAAACTCGCAGCAGGATTCATTTTCGACTTTGTAAGGGTTTAGTGGAAGCTACTTTATTAGGTGCGAACTAAAGCAGGACACAATCTGTAGATGTATCCAAATGTAATTACACATCTCAGGCACCAGTATATAACATCAAAGCCTTTTTAAATAAAAAACAAGTCAGTATCTGAGGAAATGGAGAACAAAACACAAGTCAACCTACGCACAAACAAATTCTACATGAATTATTGATGCATTTTATAAGCTGGGCTCCTGTTATCATCATCAGAGCTTTTCTGTCATTGAACCTTGACTGTGGCAGCATGCCAAGAAATAAAACATCCGCTATAGGGACACTTAAAGTAGGTATACCATGGTCAATTCAAGAGAAGAGAGCGGGGGGGGGGGGGGGGCTCTGCATGTACTC